CAGAAATAAAATCAACATACATATTAATATGACCGACGCTAGCGAGAGAACCATCATCTTGACTCCGGATGAGTCCCCAGACCACAAGTTACCACGGAAATATTGGAAAACTACGAGCTTCGCAGCCAAGGTTTTAGTCCGTGGAAGCGGAGAGTCTGAATTCGGTCATACCATACCGGCCCCGTAGCATCTAGTAAAGGAAAGTCAATATATGCCTCGAAATACAGTAGAGACACGGCGCTACATCAAGTCTACGGTGAAAGCGATGAACATACAGCCAAAGGTCGCATTGAAGCTCTCCGGCATAGCTACGACGAGGAGGAGGAAAGGGCGTGCAACATGTTGTGACGAAGGCCTAGGACTTTTAGGCAGAAATATTGGGGATCTGCAAATTACAATTAGTATCCAATATTACACAGGAGATATCCGGAAGAGGGCGACATGAGATTTCGGGTGCAATCATCATCAAAACTTGATCGTAGAAAAGCGCGGTTACGCAGGGTTACGGCGTACGCATCAGGCTTTGCTTCAACCCTGTCCTTACCTATTTTTCACCTGATTGCCCTTTCCTCCGTGAAATTTTCATTACAATGATACGCGGCAATGAGAGTGCATGCTTCATGCAGAGCCCATGTATGCTTTATGTGGAGGGTGGGCAACTCAACATTTGTGTATTATGAAATTGGTTGCGAACCTGCGCTATCTGTCCGAAATCAAGCGGAGTTCCAACTCGGCCAGCTCGGAGCAATATCCGGGTTTCTTTCTTCCCCTACCCGACTCATCGTCACAGAGACTAGAACTCGTACTTTATCGCGTGCAGCGTTCCCCCTGATATGTGATGGAATAACCTATTGGAGTGTCTAGGGAAGACTGGTTCCTTCCGGAGGCCTATATTGACCTGATTGGAAAATTTTCGCCTTCCATCTTCCAGTGCAACGCAAAGGAACATCCGAGCAAAAGATTTAGCCATGCCAAATCTTATCGAACCAATTTAAATACCAATAATCGCTGATCGGAATCCCTATGCGGTTCCTGGCATCTGTACTTCGCTACATGTATTTCAGTCGACGGTCATGATCCATCACCAACTTTGCATCCCCCTCTTCTGGTCTCCATGTCCGAGTATACAACCGGTGTTGGTCCTGTGGATGCCAATGGCACAGTGCTCTTCTTCACTGACAGCGGGCCAGTCGCGGGGTCTACTGACTACACCACTGTTGTCATCTTCCATGGAAGTGCCTTCACGGGCCGTAAGTTTTCCTTCTGATGCTCAATGTCGCGTATATCTCATCTCTTCATCTAATTAGATACCTTCCACAAGCTGCTCCCGATGGCAGCGGAAAACAATCTACGTCTCGTCATCCTGAATAGGCGTGACTATGCCGGCTCAACGAAGTATGCTGATGAGGAACTCGCAGAACTAAGAGAGGGGAAGACAGAATTTTTACAACGCCTTGGATCTGAATCGGCGAACTTCCTAGCTTGGTTCATCAAGACCCATGATATTCCCAAGATCAGCGCCGACGGCAAGTCTGGAGGATTGGCTACTATTGGATGGAGTCTGGGAACTACAACGTATGGTCGTCGCTTCTCAAAAATTTCCGTGATATTGATGCTGGCTCCGTTTTTAGTCCCCTCGCCATTCTTTCCCACCCGGAAGTTATACCCAAAGAAACCTACGACTCGTTGGAGCCATACTTCCGACAGATGATCTTCTACGGTTAGCTCTTCCCTTCGATCCGGACATTCAGTTTTGCTCATTTTTCGTCAGACCCACCTCATCTCGCTTTCGGATATGATCAACCACCGGAAGGATATAACCCATTCACTGATCCTGAGCTCAAGACAGCCGAGGAGATCTTCGCTAACTTTGGATACTGGGTCAGCACGTACTATGACCATCCGGATCTTGCGTCGCGTTCCCCAAGCGGACTTGACTTCAGCAGGCGTGGTACACGTCCGTCAATCGAAAATATGACACCGGATGACATGAAGGTTACCTTTGACGGCGAGGCAGCTGGAAGGATGGAATTCCCCATGTGCGTCTTCTTCGTCTTCCCGACCATTGACTGATTAGTGTCTGCCAAATCAGGTATTTCCCTCCCATGCAACCTACCATCAGGCAGCAGACCGAGACGGCGCTGTACGACGAAGAGGCGATTAAGAAGATTCTGCCAAAGCTGGAAATTGTACATCAATTTTGTACTGCGACCAACTGGTACTGTGTGTGGGGATTTTTTGGGAACGAAGGCTTCGCTCCCAAGCGGCCCATTCGCTTTATCGAGATCCCAGGAGCAAACCATTTCGTACGTCGGCCTTGTTCGTTATTCATGTCTGAATTGAATTTACATTCACATCTCCAGGTACACTGGGATGATCCCAAAGCGTATATGGAGGCGACGGTGAAAGCGCTTACGACATGATAGGTGTTATGGTCCCCCAACAAACAACTTTAATATAGATATTGATACCCTCAGCTCTCGTCAGTGCCGAATTGAACAATGTACTATCCCGTGATGTCCTTCAAATGCCATGTATAAGTGTTAGCTCATTTGAAACGTTCGGTCCATGGGGAACAGATATAAAAACAAGCTGTCCCTTTCCCGCTCTCGCATACGCGACATGCTGATCCCAATCGGGCTGTCCTTTATACACTGATGCCGAAAACACGCTGAACGTCCTAGGAACAACAAGATAGTTGACGGCGACTACAAGGGGGAGGTTATCGGCCGGATGTGTTTGTCTATACTCTTTCTTCAGAGTTTTGATATGATTAGGGTTCCTCTTCATATCGCACCCCACAAGGTACGAAAGGAAGGCGCCATCTCGTGGGTTCATAAGCGGCGGATATCCCCCTATCGAGTGAAATAACATTGAGAACTGTGTTTATCTTGATATTTTGAATCTTACTTTTCCAATTCTTGGTTATGTGAGAACAAATCTCTCGATGACCGCTGTCCCATGCCTCCTTCTGGCATTTTCTAGAGCAGTAGTATGCATGGCAGCATCCTACACACTTCTGGAGCGGAGGACCTAGCGTAGCCTCAGGAGTTATTTGCGGAGGCAAGGGACACTGCAAATCAATCTTAGACGGGCCGGCTCAAGCATGACATGAAAGAAACACACCTCCGCATTCATGCACTCGGCTTTGTCCCTCCAAAGATACTTCTTTCTCATTTCCATACGAGTGCCTACCGCCTTTTTCAATCTCGCCCACGATTCCCAGAGCTTTGGCGCGTCCTTCTCAATTCCCTCTTCTAGCCAATGTGGGTGCCACTCCACCTCGCGTATAGCACGAGCGGCCAGCCGTAGAACGGACCGAATAACAGAATGGCAGTTGACCTCATTCAAAAGATGCACCAGTACATCATTGAGTGTGTTACCTGTCGTGCGATCAGGTGTATGCCCACCTCCCGCGAGCATAAAGTACGGTTGGCATTTCATGATGGATAAGAACAGATGGGCCTGAAGAGCCTCTCCTACCCATGCGAATTGATCCTTGAACGCCCCAGAGAGATAGGACGCACAAAGCGAGATGATGCCTTTTGACGTCTCAAAGTCATCCATCGTCATCGATAGCACGAATTTTCGGGACGACAGACGCCGTAAGAGCTGACAAGTCCACCTGACACCGTCCGCAGCCAAGAAGGCCCGCTTGACAGGCGGAGAGTTGGCGGAAAAATTGAACATGGTCATCATGCAGCGTTTGAGCACGTAGTAATCTGGCTCTCGGGAATGTATCTGGAGGATGAGTCGGCCGAGGCAGGGAAAGGTCACACTGATGGATGTGGTATGGAGAACTTGGGTGAAATCATCAAGCCAGGGTTCATTAGTGTCGAAAGTCATATTCCGGATGGCGCGTCCCGTCGCTTGTGCCGCGCTGAGATCGTTTGCAGACGCGAAGATCCAAACCTCCGTGATGACACGCATGAAATTTGGAAAACGTCCCAATATCTGAACGAGTGAGGGTATCTCGGAGAGATCGGCTACGAGTTTAATCGTGTTGAACGTGAGCTCATCCTCAGCCGAGTCCAACTCGGGTAGCGCATCCGGTTTGTCGAGAAGGTAGAATTTCATGAAGTACACGAACCACAAAAGGACATTCGGTAGGATCTCAGAGATCTGGGGGATCTGATCAGGCCACAGCAGAGTTTTATTTTGGATTTGGAACCCGAACGCGATGGCTCTGAGGCAAGATCTGGCGACGATGATTGATTGATGAGGCTGATTTGGATCCAGCCATATATTAGGAACACTGGTCTTGCGAAGACGATATCGAAAAACCGGGAGAAATTGAGGAAAGGTTTCTTCGTCGTGCTGGACAATGGACACGAGACGTTCTAAAGCTGGTAACGAGCCATCCCTGGCTAGTTTCTGACAAAGGACTTCGCGTATGAGAACCTAGCAAAGAGAACTGCAAGAATACCAGCCTTGATGGTGGTGTACGCCATTATCCCAGTGCCTGGGGCTCGTAGTTCAGTAGAACCTACCACTTGGAGTCAGGAACGAGAGAATCGATGTGGGAAAAAGACATCATAACGTAAATCACGTTCGAACCTTGGAAACGAAAGCGGTTCGAAAGCGGTACCGCAAAATGTAAATGATGGTGAACTTCCTCAATGGAACAACCATTTGCTGTCAAACCGCCTTTGCCAACGTCGAGCTTCGGTGTGGGGAAATGCTGAATGGTTGTCAGAGGGGGTAGCCCCTTGCGCTTGAAGGCCTCACGGGGCACTTGGCACAGTGGTAGCGCGCACGCTTCGCATGCGTGAGGTCGTGGGTTCAAATCCCACAGTGTCCATTGGAATGTTATCTAATAGCTAAGTTTTTAGTTCGAACGAGCTATGACTCGTGCTTCGGGGAGAGTTTCGTTGCGATACCTCTGGGACAGAGTGTTTTGATACGGTAAGTCGCCGCTACTTGCTCTGGCTCTTAAAGTCTTTTCTGCTAAAACTATTAGCTTTTGTAAAGCCACGGAAGTAAAAGTATGTAGACAGTATCGACACCAGCAGGATTTGAACCTGCGCACTCAAAGAGTAATAGATGAACATTCATTCGAATCTATCGCCGTAACCACTTGGCTATAGTGCCTTAGTTGAATTAAGTCCGCTGCTGTTACAAATATGGCTAAACAGCACAACAACAGCGCAAACCAACTGCGTGTTTCATTCACTCACTCCCAATCAGCGTACGCGTGCAGCTCTGGTTCATTGCTCCGTCATGGCTACGGTACGTATTTTGATCGCAGCACCGGAGAATTTCTTGGACTTCTGTCAAATGGTCGCTCAGGATTGGAGCGTCTAAATGAACTTCGCTGCCTCGCGTTTCAACTATAGAATGGATTCATTTCTGGTCCTTGACACAAAGCACCTCTGGCCCGGTTACTAGTTGCAGGGGCGGAGAAATATCGCAAGAATGGGCTCCTGGACCCTGCATACCTGGCCTGATCAACCGGAATTAACATCAAACTGTCGTTTCGTACTACGCGCCAAGTGGGAAATAAGGGGGTACTGCATGTATGTACTATTTCCATCTTCATTCCACACCAGAGATCAGCAAACCGAGATCGACCAGTGCACCGTTGCTTTTCAAAGCAGCTTCGATGAATGCAACATCCTTCAGAGCTCCCACCGGACTGCCGAATGGCTCGATGCTTTCCTTGCCGTCTGCCACGTCGAAGAAGCTACGCAACTCAACCTGGACGCCTGTCATTCTCTCTTCGACAATAGTCTCTTTCTTCTCCGTCGTGAGAACGGCCTTCATGAATCCCCCTTGGATAGAAATCGCCGCATATCCTTCTGTCCCTGTGACGACACATGCATCTTTCGCCGAGACTGGTTTGGATGTTGTTGGAAATGCAAAAGTCATCTCGATGGTGCCGTTGTAATGCTCCGAGGCCTTCGCGATGGCGTGGATCGTGTCATGAGGCGCGAGATAGTCCTTGTTTAGCGACGCAAAGCTCGAAAGATGTGTAATGGGCTGAGGAAGCAGAACCCGCAATGTGGCGATCGTATGCTAAAACGTGGAGTATCAGTACCCACCTTCCTGAAGATAGTAAGTTGATATGCTTACAACTCCGCCATCCAACTGATCAACGGGGATATTAGAACTTGCAGAGCCACTGAGGAACAGCACGCACCAGAAAACCTCCTTGATACTACGAGTCAATCGGTGCGTAAGAAGGCAAGCAAGCGATGGAAGGAAAGAAGACCAGCATACCTCAGGCACAGTTCGCCAAGGCGTCTTGTAATATTTGGAATCCTTGTCCACATAATTTAAAACGCAGGCCTTGAACCCTATGACTTTACCAATTGCTCCACCGCGAATCAGTTTCCCCACCTCCTGGAACCCCGGTTCCACTTCATAATTCTCCGCGACCCGCCACACCAGGCCCTTCCCCTGAAACTCGGACCGATATTGTTCGATCAGAGCAATCCCACTGGCGACATCAGGGGCAACTGGTTTCTCGCTCAGGACGTGCTTGCCTGCTTTCAGTGCCTTGAGGATCATTGATGGCTGCAGAGGGATGGGAAGGACAAGAAGAACCGAAGAAATATCCTGCCGTGCTAGAATGGCGTCTACGCCTCCGCCGTTTTCGCCATCGTGGTAGACATCCGGCGCTGGGATGCTCAAGGCTTTAACGGCGGCAGTCGAAAGACTCTCGGCGCTCTGGAAAGAGCGTGAGTATACGGCTTTGAGAGAGGGCGCAGACGCTCCTAGAGCTGCGATGGCCGGTATGTACGCTGCATGCGGGGAAAGGTAAAATATCGGATGTGATATTGTAAGCGATCGCCCAGATCTTGAATTGTATGAACTTACCTTCAGTTGCGAAGATACCGGCACCGAGGATCGCAAAGCCTTGTCTCGCAGGTTGGGCCATCGTTAAGAGGTCAATTTCCTGAATGCGGGTTCTTGTAAACCTGGTGCTTGAGAAAATCTGGAGCAAAACTGAACAGAGCTGGGAGGACCCAATCACGTGCTCGCCGACAATTCCCCGTTAGATTAACACGCCCCCTACGTCCTCTTTCTTCATCTGGTTGGTGCCCAGAAGACGAGATGGAAAAGAAGCGTACCAGGGCTGAATCTCAATAAGATCTGTATGCGAGCCAATGGTCTTTCGCCGAGCATCCGGCAAATCTCCTAAGCCTTTTCGCAGCACAATCGCAGCGTCATATTCTCCTACGGATTATTCTCGGAGGGCGTGTCAATACTCTTTCTCTGATATCAGTAATTGATGTAGGTGTGGACATGATATAAAGGACAGCGCCATCGCCTTTCGAAATGGAGCTCTCATAATGACAACTCCCTCTGCTGCAAACAAGCTTCCCAAAGATTTTCTGTGGGGTTTTGCAACAGGTACGTTGACAGTCCTTGGCGATGTGTACGTTACAAATTACCTTTGCGATAGCGTCGTTCCAGATCGAAGGCTCTACGTCCGTTGATGGGCGCGGTCCTTCAATTTGGGATGACTTTGCCAAGACGCCAGGCAAGACGCTTGACGGACGCGACGGTGAGGTTGCGACGGATTCGTACCGTCTCTGGAAAGAGGACGTCGCACTACTGGTCAAGTATGGCGTAAAATCATATCGTTTCTCTATCTCCTGGAGTCGAGTGATTCCTTTAGGCGGCAGGGATGATCCGATTAACGAGAAAGGCATCGAGTTTTATAACAATTTGATTAATGAGTTGTTAAAGAATGGAATTGTTCCGTTCGTCGTACGTGGTATTTTAGGTTTTGTTATGGGTCAGTGGACTGACGGCTACTTTCTAGACGCTATATCATTGGGATCTCCCGCAAGGTTTGCATGACCGCTACGGCGGGTGGCTAAACAAGGCTGAGATTACGAAGGACTATATGCGATATGCTAGAGTGTGCTTCGAAGCTTTCGGTGATCGCGTGAGACACTGGTGAGCAGTTTTCTAATATTCCGGTATCTACTCTGAACGATCGCTGCAGGCTCACCATGAACGAGCCCTGGTGTATCTCTGTTCTAGGATACGGCCGAGGTGTCTTCGCTCCTGGAAGATCCAGTGATCGTGCACGCTCCGCCGAAGGTGATTCTAGCCGCGAACCCTGGATGTAGGCCTTCTATATGTCTCAGTCTAACCCTCCTCTAAAGCCCAGTCCAGTGTCGGTCATAACGTACTCCTCGCCCATGCTTCAGCTGTAAAGCTCTACCGGGAGGAGTTCAAACCCAAGCAAGGAGGTCAGATTGGGCTAACTCTCAATGGCGACTGGCAGATGCCTTGGGATGACAGCCCCGAAAGTGAGCCTTGTTCTAGTACAAAGCTGTATATTTATCGTGTTTTCTTTCGTCCAGATGTGGAAGCGGCGCAACATGCTCTCGACACCGCTATAGGATGGTTCGCCGATCCGATTTATCTGGGCCAGTACCCATCGTACTTGCGGCAGATGCTTGGCGATCGTCTCCCAGAGTTTACGGACGAAGAGATCCGTCTAGTGCAGGGGTCGTCGGATTTCTATGGGATGAATACATATACAACAAATTTGTGCCGTAAGTCTACTCCATTTTCTCGTTTGGGTGGCGAGGAACTCACTGACACCAGGCGCGGGCGGGGACGACGAGTTTCAGGGATTGATCGACTACACCTTCACGAGACCTGATGGGTCTCAGCTGGGAACACAAGCGCATTGTGCATGGTTACAGGACTGTAGGTGCTGTCTTCTTTCATCAGTATCTATTAATGATTCCAACATTCTCAGACCCGCAAGGATTCCGAGCTGTGAGTCTTCATTCAGTCGCACATGAATGAAAGACATCTCATGACCATCAAGTTACTCAATTATCTATGGAACGTACGTACTTATTCAAATAATACTTCCGGCTTGTGCACTAAAGATCCGTCAAGCGGTACCACATGCCCATATAGTACGGTTTTTCTCTTTCTCTTTCTTTTTGTTAATCTCCTCATTCCTGTTCCCGTGTCAGTGTTACAGAAAACGGCTTCGCCGTCAAAGACGAGGATGCTATGCCTCTGGAGCAGGCGTTGCTTGACCACGACCGGGTACAGTATTTCCGCGGAACAACTTCGGCCCTTCTGGCTGCCATTCACGAGGATGGCGTAGATATACGAGCGTATTTCCCTTGGAGTAAGCCTTATCTGAGTCTCTGCATCATCCGTCTGACCGCATCCCACGATAAGGTTTCCTGGACAACTTTGAATGGGCGGACGGGTATATCACGCGATTTGGCGTGACCTATGTTGACTATAACACGCAACAAAGATTCCCGAAGGAGTCTGCGAAGGAGCTTGTCAAGGTACGACATTTCTTACTCCAAAGTTAAGAGCCAGATGAATTCTGACGACTTGCCTCAAGTGGTTCAAAGAGCACTCGTCAGACGAGAGCACTTTAACGTCAAAAGCTGGCAGTGTTAAGTCGAACAATAAGGTCGCCAGTTTCAACGATGCAGCGAACCCTGATACGATGCCGATGCGCAAGTCAGTGATGGGCAGGATTAAGGCGTATGTCCTCGGATGGGTAAATTCTATTTTACGTTTAGTTCAGGTGAATCGCCGTTGAAGTTCCTTGCTGTTTTTCCTTTCTTGTGATTCGTAGATGTACTTTATTTACTATTGGATTTCGACACCTGAAGCTGGTTTTACTCAGTGAGTTATATGCAAACTCGACGTCACTTCATGGCACACCCTCTACATAGATTTATTTCCTTTGCTGGGCTCTTGGCACAGTTGGTAGCGCGCACGCTTCGCATTATGATTGCGTGAGGTCGTGGGTTCAATTCCCACAGTGTCCAATATTTCTTCATTTTTAGAAGTCATTTTTTTGATAATAGTTCTCGATATTGACAGTTGAATGTAATCATTGTAGTAGCCATATTTTCCAAACAAACTAAGGAGTCAACAATGTGATATCTATTAATGCACTCATTTTCACTGTCTGTGACAGTAGTCACGTGTACATGTTCATGACGCGTTAACTTCGAAGTTACAACTTATCTTGAACTTATCAGTCATTCTGTTAGAACTGTTCTCATTCGTAGTCATGCACAGACTGGAGCAGCTCTCTATGTTTGCCCTACAGTTTTTGTCATCATTTCAAGTTCATTCAG